TTGTATTTTATTGTCTCAAAGGCACCGATTAAAATGTCTATTCAATTACCAATTGATATTGTGGTATCTCTTCTGTAAGTTTGGTCGCTTATATAGCTTTTTACATAATCGTTCTTTTCTCCTCCTCATGATGAATAAGTATTATGCTTTGGTTCAGTGTTTTTTGTTGGATCACTGTTATGGACTAAAATTATATAGGCAATTAAATAAAATGGGACTAGAATTTCACTTTAAATGCCTAAACTAAATTCTTCAAGTGTTAGTACTATGATTTGGGGGTAAAAGATGTGGTTGTCGAAAGAACTTTCTATTTTGTGTATAGATCAAATACTAGGTAAATTATATACACTGCTATTTATTTCGACATGACATTTTTATCTATATACATTCTCACAAACACAATAATTTTCTGTATCGACGATGTTATGAGACAGGTCCTAATGTTTTGTGAAGACCATGAACAAAGGAAGTTGATAACGACTAGCGAGGCTATCCTTTAAAGTTGATACATCACATGATAGTACCAAGAAAGCAATTAGTATGTAGTAGACTCACCTTCTTTCTGTTGTTGTTTTATGTAATAAGTTTTTAATTAGCTATACCATTGTAATTGAGAAATGGTAAATTCAAATAAGATGAATGCTGAAAACGGACTAGGCTACTGTGATCAACTTGGAGACCATGATTCTATCAAATTTCTTTCAGATACTTCATTAAGTAGAAGAAGTCCTTTCTCAGTATGTGGAAGTTGCGTCTTTTATATGTTAGCAACAATTTTCCTGAAAAATAATGGAACTTATGATGTTGTCCTTCAGTCTCTCTTAACTACTAATTAGCACTTTTACCAGCCTTAGAGTTGTATTTAAGAAGAGCTAAAAGCTCGGTTATATGTGCTAAAGCATAATACCAGGTGATAGTTGAGTGGTAGAATATCCCAAGAGCTAAATTCTTTGTACTATCACTAATGCTTACATTTTAAGTATATTTAATTATGTAGGTTATGGAAGAGTCAAGAGCACATAACTCAAGAATTCTTACCAATCACAGTACAATTCATTTCATGTTGCATCTGAATTTTTCAATATCTTCAACTGAATGAAAATTTGATTATGCACTATAGAAGAGCCAAGTTTGGGATAATCGAGGGCAAAATCATTATTTCACTCGGTATATGTTGATTCTAGAAGCTTGGCCTCTTTTGTCCCATAGCCACCTTGCGTTTTCTCATAAGTCTGCCAATGTCACTTTTTGAATTATCACTTCTTCCCTTAAGGACTACTGATTATTGCAATTTCAAGTAATTTCTCTCTCAAATTTTTTTTCTCTTCATTCAACTGTCTCCTGAAGCAAATATTCAGTAATAATGTGGGTTTTCCTTGGTCATTGAATTCACTTGTACTAAAAGCTAAAATGTTGCCGGACGGAAGGCCAAGTTCAAATCATGCAGATGTACAAAAAAAGGCAATCAACTAGGTCCAACCGTGCAATACAACAAAGACCTTCTCCTATTGTTGATTAAATTTCTCCACTTCCTTTGCAACTTGCAAGCACGTCTCATGTACTGCAGCTGTAGTTCATTTATCTTTCTTTTTTTTTGTTTCAATTAAACAAGGAACAAAAGTTTTACACCTAATGCGGCGAATTTGGATCAGGGTGTTCAATAAAAAAATGTTGTTTTTCTCACAAAAAATTATCAAGAAAAATTTGTTGAAACAAAATTATGATAAGCACGGGCAAAACTCATCTAGTTATTGTATAATATTATCGTAGGAATAATTTGATTGAATGATATTAATGTCATTCAATAGTACATTCTGGTTCCACTCATATATATACTTACTATTTATTAATTTAATAGAAGTTTTATTTTTCTCTCTTTTTTTATGTGAAGAAAAATGAAAAATTAATTTATGATTTCTATTTAATATTTAATTAATAAAATATCTATAAACTTTTTTATTTAGTATTGGGGTAAAATGACAAAAAATATTTTATTTCACTCAAATATTTTGTTAAATTAGGATTATATTTTCAAACTAAATAGTTTATAATTATTTTATTTTGTGAAGATTAAAAAGCTTGAATTTAGTAAGTTAAGTTAATTTAATTTGAGTAGGTTGGTAATTATAATTGGTCACTCTCCTAATTTTATTGTTAATCTAAGAAATTTGTTACTATCTCATTTAAAACTCCAATTCAACGTTAACAATATGAGATTCCAACGGTCACAATATGAGATTCAAAGCTATGGTGGTCGTCTTCTTCAGACAGTAGAAGCCGAGTCCTCATCCTGTTGATAATGGTGAGGCCAAGATCAGACATAATCTCTGGTATATTCTTCGAATTGGAAATTTTCCCTATTATTTCCCCCACATCCTTCATTCAATTGCCTTCTCTGTCATTATTGCATCTGTTACTTGCCTATGTTTTTTACTTCTTCTTCTTCTTCAGCTGAATGAATCGTTGTTCAATTGCTTTTTAGTTTATTATTCAATTTTCCAGTTTTCTTTATCAACTGTTTTCAACAATTTTCTTAATCTTTACATCATTGATTAAGTAAGTATTTTGAAACAAGCCCTCGTCAATATCTTGTGACGGGGGAGGGGGAAGGGGTCGATACTACTTATTGGGTAAATGTTGTTTTATTCACTTATTGCACTTTTTTGTGTAAATACAATCTGTGTACCAGTGAAGCTAGAGAGTTGGCTTAGGAGCCAAATTTTGAGATTTAAGGGTGAGTTGCTTGAATTAAATACTGATCATGACAAGTTGACAACTTTGCTTATTATCAATAATACATGAAACAAAAAGGAAAATTCAAATGTATATGTAATGGGTTCACATGGTTACTAGTAATATATATGACATTGAATTATGAGAAGAGAACCATATCGATCAGCACCTTCCACTCTATTTCTCTTCAACTCTTTTATGGTTGATCTCCACTTAAACAATGGTTCCATCTCCTCTAGTGTTGTGCCTTTTGTTTCTGGTAACAATGTGTAGAAGAAAATCAAAGCCACAATTGCAACTCCAGCATACAAGAAAAAGGACCTTCCAATACTAATAGCCTTGTACAAAGATATAAATGTCATCAAAATTCCTCCACTCACTGCTCTATTCACTGCTACACCTATACACAACCTTGACCTCTTAATCTCAATGGAAAGATTTCTGAACTGTATACCCATGCTAAAGGACCCATCCCAATTGAGAAGAATGCAACTGTTTAATATGTTGCACATACACACACCACTATCGCCCATTTTAGCGTATGATCTGAGTGATCAATTATAGTTAACCCTGTAGCTAGGGCTAATAAAGACAGAATCATACCACCACAACTTGATAGAAGTAATATTCTTCTTCCAATCTTGTCCACCAAAATGTCGCAACTAAAGTAAAGAATGTCTTCATACATCCCACAGCTATAGTCGCAATAGCTTGGTTTACCCTTTATGTAAATAAAAATGTGTCAGTCGTCGTCTAACAGTTTAAACTTTAAGAGTTGCAGAATGAATGAATATATACCTGCTTTCTCATATATCCTGGGGCTGTAGAGCACAACAGCATCTATGCCACTGGCTTGTTGGAAAAAATGAATACCAATGCCTGCAATTAGAATATGAAGAACGGTGGGGGTAGGATGGATGAACAAATCTCTCCATACGCCTGAACCATCGGAGCTTTCTCGTGTGACAGCAACTATGTCATCTTGGCAATCTTGTGGTATGCCAGCAGCTTCTTTAATGTCAGCTAATCTCGTCTTTGATTCTTCTAAAGTGTCTGAAGTTCTGTCCAAAACCTTCTTGGCATCTCCAAGACGGCCTTGCATGACTAGCCAACGTGGTGACTCGGGCATAGCAAGGACACCAATGCCTAACATAACTGATGGGATAACTCCAATTCCAAGCATGAATCGCCATCCCAATTTTAGTGGAAGCATTGAAAATGCATAGTTTGATATATAACCAAGTAACACACCTGCAACACAAAGAAAAAAACATAAGTATTAATTCGTTCATTTTGCCCTATTATTTTCCCCCAATTCGTTCATTCAATTGCTGCCTCTGTCATTATTGCATCTGTTTCTTGCCTATGTTTTTACTTCTTCTTCTTCAGCTGAATGAATCGTTGTTCAATTGCTTTTAGTTTTATTATTCAATTTTCCAGTTTTCTTCATCAACTGTTTTCAATCAATTTGTACATTTCTAATTCTCACTTTTGGATATACTTGCTTGATTCAAACGTATCTTCATCGTCTTCTTCCCCATAAGCTCCAGACGGACGGCTTATGTTCATCAATTTCTTTGTCGAAAATCAAATTTCGAATTGAGAATTTGCCCTGTCCTTATCCCCCCCAATTCCTTCTATATAAATAAACCCCTTTTCATTCACAGATCAATTGCTGCCTCTGTCGTTATTGCGTCTGTTTTCTACCTGAATTGTTCAAATTCTTAGTATTTCTTCTTAGTTTATTATTCGATTTTACACTTTCCTTGATCAATTGCTACCACTGTTTTGAATCTTAATTTCTAATTCTCACTTTTGGATTTCACAAGACCCCAATTCGGCAGGAACACTTGGTTACCTGTTATTACTTTGGATGACATCTTCAGAAAGAAGACCAAAGCCGCTCCCCGTATCTATTATTTACCGCTGACTGATGAAGAAGTTGCTAAAAAGCTTGCCAGTAGAGAAGATGCTGAGAGTTAGAGGTTTTAAGTGAACAAAGGACTTGTTAGATAGATGGATTATGGAGAGGTGTTGCGATGTAATGCTGATAACTGCTAGTTTGCCCTCATAGCGACTGCAGTCTTGAGGCTCACTAAGACCTTGCTCTCTTTTCTATTTTCGTTGTTAATGGTTACTGTATTTTTGCTTTGGGTTGAAGAAACATAACAAAATGTGCAGAGTCTGCCTTCTTTTGATAGTTGCATAAAGATGGATTTGAAGCAGAGGTTGAGACGTTGGGGAAGATTCGACACAAGAACATTGTTAAGCGGTGTTGTTGTACAACTCCCATTGCAAACTATATATGCCTAATGGAAGTTTACACAGCAGCAAAAGTGGCCTTCTAGACTGGCCTATGAGATATAAGATAGCCATGGATGCAGCTGAGGGACTCTCTTATTACTTGCATCATGACTGTGCTGGACCCAAAGATGTTAAGTCAAATAACATCTTGCTGGATGGTGAGTTGCTGACTTCGGTGTTGCAAACGCGGTCGATGCCAATGCTAAGGCAATCAAGTCCATGTCTGTTATTGCAGGGTCTTGTGGTTACATGGCTCCAGGTTAGTGAATTTGTTCATTAGTTTGTGTTGAATTTGTTCGTATTGAGTTTTACTTGCAAATTGTTGCCTGTAAGTTTCTGGATTACTTTAGCCTTTCAAAAATGAGATCTATATAAACTACAATATCTACTAGATATTCCACATTTGTTAAGTACTCTAATAAACTTCTGATAGAAATTGGATCATAGCTGGAGTACCCCCTAATACAGTAACAGTGCACCATTGCTCTAGATCACAGTTAAGTAGGCTCCACGAATTTCCATAACCAAGTTAAATGGTTCTGATTAAATCGTTCTTGAGTACAAAAGACACTATTAGGAGTGTAGAAAAAGATATACTAAGCTTTCCACTTATGATGTTTGATAGTTGCATAAAGATTAGAATTCCACTAAGTATCTAATTTTAGCATTTGGTCACTGTTTCCCTCAACTTAAACCATGTTTATGCGTGTGTTTGTGTTTTGGTTTAACGCTTTTTGTTGTTCGATATGAGAAAGGACTAACTTTTGTGACTTCAAAGATCATATAGAAGCTAATTAGTGTCTTCTCATATTCTGGTTGGCCCAAATATTACCCTTGATTCCATCTGCAAATCTCACAGATGCCTTTCTGACTTTCCTAGTTCACACTTACATATTTTACAAGCATCTTGCAGCACTTCCTGAAAGAAACATTGTTGGCATTGGAAAACTTATGAGTTGATATTTTATGGATGATGTTGCTTAGGACTGAAAATTCTGTTAGTCATTTAAGACTCCTTCACTCCTGCCACTAACGGAGAATGTTGTTCTAGGGAGGATTCCGTTCTCATACTTGGAGGATATTCAGATGAGGTTCATGAAGAACTATGGTAAGGTGGCTTCTTATGCTCCTGCCTATTCCATGAATGATGAATTCTCAAGGGTCTTGCTGATGCAAATGGAGTTCTTTTCAAGTAAGTAATCCAAGTGCAGATACACTAAATCGTGTCAGAGGAGAAGTTGGTGAGGCAAGTATCTTTTCTGTTTACTTGCGCCAAAGCGCGTGAAGCTTAAGGATTCTTTGTTTCATCTTCATTTGTTTTCCTTTTTATTTGTCTTTTGTTTTATCTGTCTTTTATGCTTCAGGTATTGTGTCCGGGGATGCATGCATTAACTCTCCAAGATATCCACAGTCTATTAAATTATCAATGGTTTTATTTTCTTGGAAACTAAAATAAGCTCCTACAAAACAGTTATGCATCAAGTTTCAATTAAGATAATTTGAAGTGTTGAACTCTCAATCATTTTTTATGATTTTCCAATATTCAATCACTGCTAAAATAACTTCTCCTTTCCCTTAATAAAACCTTTGATATCTGAATGCCTCCTCTTCAAGTTAGTACTATCAAGCTTTTATCTCCACTTCATAAAACTCCAGAAGCAATTAATGATCCTAACATCTCATGCAGGGACAATCAATCATCACCTTTGTGAACTATAAACTTCCTCTAGTCTATTTTATATTTTATATTTTGTATGACACTCTTTCCTTTTACTTCTTTCCAAAAAGAATAATATTTCTCTCAGTAGGAAACTCTTTAACTTTATGCTTCTCATTTTGACTTTAGTGGCATAGAAATGTTATGTCATTTTTAAGATGACTTTATTTTATATTATTATACGACAATGTTTTTTATATCGGTATCATTCCACGCAGCTGCAATATTTTTCTTTAGGCCCCGTTGCCCGCTGCACATGTTGCACTTTGGTATTTGGCCTTCAATGTTTCTTGCATGCATGTTCAGTGCATCGATTTATGTCAATCCCAATTGCATTCTCCACCTCAATTGGATCACAAATAATTAACACCATAATTGCCATCATTAGCATAACTCCAACACTCCTCTAAACAAAAATAAATGCAAACTATAATATTGTATTCATATCTTAGTATTAAACAAAAATAAATTAAAGATATGAAATATCACATTCCACTAGGCATGTACCATTTCTAATGTAACACTGGGAGGGGGCGAGGGTGTCTCGGGGG